TTTGTTTTTATTCATCTTGTGTGTCTGCATCATTATAAAGTAAAAAAAAAAACATTCCATAAAAATTTCATTGGGAAAAATTGGGTTTTTTATCAAAATTTGAGAAAAAACAGAAATTCAAAATGGCGACTTTGAGGTCACATGACTACCTAATTATGCAAAATACCAAATATCAATGTTCCTCGCGTAGGCCAACCTATTGCTCGCCCCAACACACAAAAAGAATTTCGAAATAACCTCTTTTAGTATTTTTTTTGAATTATTTTAAAAATTAACTTTTTTCGTTAAAAAAAGTCCCAGCACAGTGGGTGCATATACCTACAGCAGTGAAAAGGTGTCAGTCATTTAGGTATGAAAAACAAAACAGCAACAATTTTATGGCATTATCTATGTTCATATACACACAGGCTAAATACAGTTGTAACGTTAGGTGTAATGACTTAACTGTTAACAATTTGCAGTGATTTATTTACATGGGGATAAGCCAATCTCCACTAATAAAGAATTAAGTCTACTTAACTTATTGGCAATAAAATAATGTGATTCTCATATTTTGGCATTTATCAAACTTGGTTTGAAATATATATAATTAGGCAAACTTCCATCTCTAGATAGAAAAAAAACCCCCAATATTATAGTGTTTACATTAAATTACTCTCAGATCAGATAAAAAAAAATGAATATTTTATTTCTACATTTGAATAGCTTAATTTGTATATTTAAAGGAAGTTTGTAATCTAAAATTAAAATTTGAATTAAAAACGAAATCCCTTATAAATAATAACTTTCCTGTATTTTTTTGCAAAGATCCTTAAATTGGCTGGAAACCATTTAAGAATTTCTGTAGTAAAATGTCTGGAAATCGGTGAAAACTACTGCTTTTTGATCTGTTTCTTGTTGGAAGCTGATAATTTATTTGTTCCTTTCAAATGAGCTATTCAAAATTTTATTTGAATTTTTGAGGTATTTTCCTGTCTCTTTTACCTGTATAATTCTAACATTGAAATTAAATATTTCAATTGCTTAGTTTTTTTAGGTAGGCTAAATCATTTGAATTAAACTGAAAATTAGAATGAAAGAATACTTTCATCACCAACTTACAGTATACATTTTTGTATAACAGTTATATTATTTTGTATATCCTTAAATTGTCTATTAAACATTGAAAATTAATTTGGTTTGATCTGTGTTTCAATAGAAAAATGATTTAAATTAAGTATAGAAGACAGTTTTTACTATTTCAGTAGATCCACTTGTGGTTGTGAATAATTGGATTACTTTTATTGACACTTCTTATAATATACAGTACTTGCATTAATATATATGTATCCTAAATCTTTAAATATCTAACTACACAGTACTGTATCTATATAAAACAACATTGACCAATTGTTTTTGTCTGTTTTAAAAGCCTCATATTGTATTGTAATGTTTTACCCAGATAGATTCCTGGCCCTGGCTTACTCTCTACCTTTCTCTGTTTCTTTGCATTATGATTTAATTGTTTGTGTAACTCACATTTTTTTTTAATAGCGTCATTTTTTCTGTTTTAAAAATTATGCAAGCTATTACGTAATTTACAAAATGCATTTTAAGATTATACTTTTATTATATAAATAATATATTATTACTACGATTAAAGTCTCCCTTTAATCAAAGGAACAGGATATGTGTTTTGGTAGACTAAATATAAATATTTTTTGTTTCAATAATGTATAGTATCTTTTTCAGCGGTTGTGTGTACATTGGCTGTTGCAACAGTCGACATGAGGCATAAACTGGGGTCTGTATAAACCTGGGTAAAAAGTAATGTTTTTTTTTTTCAGAAATCAAGAAATAATATTAGAATAGATTTCTTAATTAGTCTTGACTTCACATGTGAAAGTAGTTAACTGCATTTTCTATTTGGAGAGGACTGACAAACCATGCAGTATACAGGATAGTGCAAGTGAAGCTATAGGTGATGTTGTTAATGATAAGGATAGGCCTAATTATGATAGAAAAGGACTGTATACAGATTAAATTAAATTAAAATGTATCACAGGACAACCTGATCTAACAGCTGCAAGTGTTTGGAATAGTGTCTGAGCAAGCCTTAGTAATAATAATAGGCCTCCATTGAAAGCAGAACATACTGTACCAGTAGCTCTGTACCTGATTAATGAGTTAATGAGATTGTTCAATTATGATTGTTTATTTAATTGTACATGTATGCTAATTTGCAATAGCTTCTTTGAACATTAATTTTTCTGTTTTTTTTAAATTTATACACTGCTTCTGCTGGTCTGATTTTATGCATCTTTCATATTAACTAGAGTTTAATAGGTATACTACTCAGCACCCCCTCCCCCCCCCCACTCCCTTTTCAAAATTCAATGTAAACAATAAATGTCGATTCTGGCAGTTATAAAACAGTATAATCACAATTACTTATTGAAATTGGCGCTTCCATAGTAAATTTACATTTAACTTGGTAGAAAATAATTATAATATATATTGTTTTTCACACTGTAGCAAATTTAATAGATTTTGATGCTAAGAATCTAGCCTAGGAGAGTTGATACTCACCCTGAAAATTTGCAGTCTTATTCAATACAAATAAGAAGTATATTACCTATATTTTCAAATATTTTAGAACATTTTAATTTTGCCCTAATATCTTTGCAATGCAAATTGCCTATAGTACAGTGAGTTTATTTCTCTGCAGTTGATTGTACATGCAAGCAAATTAAATGGGATCAGTCTTTCAAATGATTTTTAATTGGTCAAAATTTCAGCAATTGTTTACAATATTTCTGATAAAAGCATACAATGCCATCAAAAAGTATAAAAATTGAATTCAAGGTTTAATTGCAAAATGAATTAAAACTATTCTAGAGCCCATGCATGCATTTAATTCAACCTAGCAATACATTTGAAATGTATATTTGTAAATTTAAACAAATTTATTATCCAATATTAAATACTAGGCTATAACACCATTTGATAATAATGATGATACCCTAAAGTACTACTATCACTACCACTTATTCTGCTACCAGCACCACCATATATAGGAGGGATTGGATTTCTTGGGTGTGGTACACATTAAGGATAACTTAGGAAAGTCCTGAGATTTATTACCAGTGGGGTCCTTCTGGTGGTGATTGGGCAGTACACCGGGAGACAATCGTCTACAATTTTCCGAAGAGTGTATTGTGTCCTTTAACATGCACATGGGCCATTTTGCACACAGGTTCAACGGCTTAAACGTCTCATCTGAAAGACCGTACACATTTTGAAACTTGCATTTCACCTCTCAAGCTCAAACACAAGGAGAGGCAGTGATGGGAATTAAACCGGGGACCAAGGGATCTCCACTGTTTAAGCTTACACACAGTGAGTGGCTAGCTGGTCTCATAAGTCAGCTTGCACCTTGCTGATAAGATTTTCACAAGTGTTTGGAGCGCAGTAGTGTAGAACGAGTGATTCAAACTGGGTGCCTAAATACAAGTGGTTGCATTACTGTACTGAAATTATACAGTGTATTAACGTAGGAAAATTCCTAAAATGGACTAACTCTTGAAGGCTTGCATTCGATAACCACGAAAGAAAACATTCTTTTTATCAATTCTTGTATAAATTTATCAAATCTCTTCATTAATATGTGTTTAATTTTACGTAAATGTCTCATTTTTAAATCAAGTTAAGGGTAACCCTCTTTTTATTTTGGTATTTATACAGCAACTGGGGAGTTAGTCACATGGTTCAGAGAGTCTGGGTAGTCTCAACGGCCAACGGGGAAAATGCATTGCGAAGGAAATAACATGTCTGTTTTGTCTTTATACATAAGAAGTTATTTCTGAATGCCATATAAATTTATAAACAGGCAAGAGTCCATCGACTATGTCCATCGCATATGTCCGAACGAAACCTGATCTGATGAGACATGAGAACAGTGTACTTTTGTTCAAAAGTTAAGAAAATATGGTAGCACTTGAGCCCTTCTAGTCGGGTCCCCTTATTTTGTGACCTAATTTCAATCAATCCCTTTCCCATTTCAAGATTCTTACAGTATACTCCACTGCTAATCTTTAGTCTAATACTCTTTAAAAATTACATAAGATATTTTTATCTGACAAATTTTGTTGAGTTCTCGAATGAGTGATCACAGCAATTTATTTTGTTGGCCTATCTTTACAGTGTTCATTTTTCCAGGTGGGGAGAACAAACTGGGTGGGCAAGAAGATTATATTTCGGGAGCAAATTCCCCCCTTGCCCCCCCCTGTAGCATCACCACTGTCAAATAGCTGCATAGGCCTAAGCAGGATTTATATATTTAAATTAAAAAATTTAAGTAAAATTAGATCTATTTCTCTTTTTTTTCCATATTTGTCTGGCAAAGCCATGGCATTGGTTCTGTCAAATGAGATTAGGACGACATAAAGTTTCCAGTAATCATCATCTCATTTGTCCCCTCACTGGGAGGTTGGGTCATCTCATTATCGTCCTCCATCTGGCGTGATCCATTACTGCTTCTACAGTAGGCCCACTAATCTTCCATGCAGTCCATCATTTTCAGGATCTTCCTCTTCTGCTCCCATTTTCGACACTTTCTGGTGCACATTTTATAGCAACCTCAAATCAACCACCATGCCCCTGTGACCCCCCCCCTCCTTGGATTTTCCTTTAAAAAGTTTTTAAAATGCCTTTCTATGTCAAAAGAAAGAATCCAAAATTTCAGATTCAATTTCCAAGCAGTTTTTAAGTTATGACCTAATGACTCCATTGACGGTTTTTACAAAGCTATATCTTCTGGAATAACGAAGATAAAAAGTTGTAAGCTGCTACAAATACTGATATTTGGCCCCTCTTTCAAGAATGATTCTTGATTTCAAATTTGGTTAGCATATTAGAATGTTAGCTGCCCCCAAAAATCTCCCAAAGCATTGTGCGACGATAGATTTTTGCTCCATGGACCATTTAATAAACACTTCATCTCAGCAACCTCCAGCTTCTTCACATGTAATTCCTTGATGGCCTATGTCTCAGCCCCATATAGTCCCACCGGTCTGACCCAGGGGCCCAGGGCTATTAGGGGCTCTTTCATAAATAGGCCTAACATAATAATTAGAAATAATAATTGTAGTAATAATTATCAGTAAAACCAGTGGCGGATTCAAGAGGGGCGAGCTGGCCCAGGCCTTCCCCCTCCAATAAATATTTGTCATGATTTTGTTTTCTGCACCTACCAAATTTTGGCCTGTAGACCTATTATGAACTAGAGCTTTATGGGTTTGGCCTGCCTATAGTTTTTATACAAAAAACTTGGTCTACTGTAGGTCTATATAGGTATTTAAATTACCAACCAATCTGTGCACAAACTTTGTGTTGCCACAGTTAGTACAAATACAACAACACAATGCAACATTGCAACATTTGACTGGACCTACAGTAGTATAGGCTACCTCAGTTCGCTGTAGATCTTGTGAGTACCCATCATCTACAGGGGTATGTAACATAAAAATGTCCTCTTGCTGTGCGCTGCTCAGCACACAGACATTCAAAATAATGCAAAGCCAGGACAGGCAAAATGGAATCCTAAATATTAATGATTGTAAGACTCCCGAACCAGTTAAAAACATTCTTAGCCTCAATTTCAACTACAAACGTAAAGGTTTACTTGTTTTTCACTCCTTTAAATTTACAACTTTTTTTTGGTGTCAGAATTTATTTTATAGTTATGGATAGAAGGTTAAGTATCTTCATGCCTCGCTTAGTACACTTGTATCATGGTGATCAAGTGTAGTGTGTGCTACCAGTACACCTGTACAGTATTTGGATGCTGGAGAGATAGGAATAGATCAAGTTTGTTGATATAAAACGACACTTAACTACAGAATCAAACTTCACTAACAAGAAGTTTAATCACAGACAAGTGAAAATAGGTTAAAATAATTTTACATCTGAAGAATTTTATTTACTGCTTTTGTGTGTGAAACTTATTTTATCTAATTTTTTTTTTCCAGAGTTGAAACTGCTGCTAATAACTTTGGTAATAGTATGCATGGCATAAGTATTCAGTTTAGTGGAAGAGACTTCTTAAAACAGGTGAGTGCACTGCATTCTTCAAAGGATTTTATCACTAATACTGGCTTCTGAAGTACTACAGTAGTTAGGCCTGTTTTCTACGGAAATTTTGTCTAATTACAGACGTACAGAAATAGACAAAAATACTATGGAAATTTATCATAGGCCTAGGCCTGGTGCAATTAATAAATAAGTCTGAAGTCCAGAATAAATTTCTTTTCCATCAGGATCTTTGGTTACATTGTCCCAAGATAACTCATACTTGTTGGATTTCTGATAAATTATTGTGAAAACTAAGAATAAGTGGCCCGAAAAAATCTTCATCCTGTATGTTTGAAATGCCACATTGAATTACGGACAATCTAGCCCATTTAAAACAAAATATGACTCCATGATCTTGCACTCAAGGCAAATTATTAAATGGTGCTATGGAAAGTTTGATTTACTACGGAAATCTGAAGACAAAGTACATTTTATGAACTTGAGAAGTCTGCTAATATCTAGCCCCTGCTACCTACAGTATACGACTCATTTTATTCTAAAAATTACCATGACCAGAGCTATCAACATGTTTACAAAGAAATTGGATTTCTTGCTGTCACTGATTAAAAAGGAAGTAATAAAACAAAATGCTTTCAATTTTGGAATTGATGCATTGATGTTAAAACTGACAACTTTTTCATACTAGCACACAAAGGAAAACTATAGAGGAACTTTCCACTAGATATAGCCTACCTGTAAGGCTTTCATTTCAGTGTACTGTATATTTGTCATTGGGATCCCCGATATGGTATGCTACATCATAGCTTACGTTAAAAGGAAAAGTATGTAATTGAGCTACTCTCGTCTGTCCACAACAGGGGCTGTATACCGAGTAATGCCCTACTCGTCTCGAAAGGTGAACTGGGTTCTTTATTGCCAAATGTGCAAACTGGGCCTATGGTTTATAGTCATTATCCAAGAATACTTTCTCCTCCACTGGAACCATAGGTGAGTTTGCCACTGAAACCAGCACCAATATGATGGGTCTAGGCCCGTTGCCATTTGGCCTGTTGCCAACTGGCATTTTGCCACCCAGCCCGTTGCCACCTGGCCTTTTGCCACCTTAGGCCCATTGCCACCTGGCCTTTAGCCACCCGGCCTTTTGCCACCCGACTTTTTGCCACCCTAGGCCCGTTGCCACCCGGTGACAATGGGCCGGGTGGCAACGTGCTGGGTGGCAACGTGCTTGGTGGCAACGGGCCCGGTGGCAAAAGGCTGGGTGGCAACGGGTGGAAACCCAATATTATTTCTGTACTGTAGGTTGCAGCGCCCCTGCCTTAACCGCTCGACCATTCGATATTGCTGGTATCATGTAATTTCACCAAGTTAAAGTAGAAGACAAATTTTTAGGGATGATTAGGGGGAGGGGGACATGAGTAATTTTGTCCTCCAAGATATGCCACTAAATATAGGCTAACTGTCAGACAACGATTAAGAGTAAGAATCTAAATGGGGCCCGTTCGGACGAGTAAAGTTTTGCTGGGTACTTCCAACCGAGAGGCCACTTGTGGCAATTAAATTTTGCCTCTAGCCATGAAAAATTCGAAAAACATCTGTCCCAAAAACCCATCTTTTTTAGTTGATATTTCAATTACACGCTGCCTCCAGGCGTAATTTATCACATGTAACAAGGCCCATGTCAAAAGTTGACCTTTAGCTTTGTATACAACACCCGGGCCAGAGAAAAATTCCTATCGTTCAATCTCGTTCCCATTTTCTCATAATACTTTAATTCCATATGAAAATAACTTTAATAATATTTAAAAGCATTAAAAAAGTTTGACAGTAAGAACTTAGCAAAACACGAGGAAATGACGTTTAAACTTACAACAAAAAAGTTCTTTACGGTAGGCCAGCGAGCGAGTGACTACCCATTTTTACATACGTCACTGTATTCGTTCAAATGTTGTATTTCTAATTTGTAGTTTATTATTTGTTAAGTGAGTATTACTGCTTTAAAAACAAACTTAAAAATTATAATTAGATATAATTTGTATTTCAATAACAGAAAAATAATTTAATACCTACATTTAAATTAGTTTTGTTACAACAACTTTATGAGTTTGTTTTACAGTCAACAACAACATGGCGTCTTCTAGCGGCGGACATGTTTCGAATGTAATAAAGTTTTGTTAACACGGTGAAGAAATCACTTGAAGCTCCAAATGAAGTTACAAAGGCTAGATTATGTATAGTTTAAAAAACTGTAACAACAAAAATATTACTGAAAAACTTGTGTCTGACCTTGGTTGAAGGAAAGACATATGAGAAGTTACTGGTTTTACCGGTTCTTATTCTACTCGTCCGAACGGCCGTCGGAATTAGCCTCAAGGCTATTATTAGATTACACATGTATTTGAGTTTTCATCCGAACACACACATGGTAAGGTTCCAACATAGGAAAATTCTTAATCTGTACATTTTTAAAAGGCCTTGTCACATATTAAATATATCTCAAGACAATCTCACACATTATGCATTTTTACTGTAGGTATCAGACAAAAGTCTTGTATTATAAATTCTATAAATAATTCTTGTGCATTACAATGTATTTAGGCAATCTTGCATCTACTTGCTAGGTTCACAGTAATCAAAAAACACTGAATAGAATTAAGATCAGGCCAGCCTTTCCAAGGCTGAAAACCAATTCAATGCAAATAATATGACTATATGATGTTGAACATGCTTTAGAGACTGAATTATAGCTTCCTGAAATCAGGCTGTAATATTTAAGCTGGCGTGACTGCGGTAATAGAAATGGCTTTCTTTTAATTACAGACTGTTGCTTATGTCCGGATTAGCTGGCTTTGCATTTAGACAGTCTACTGTAGATGTTTATAATAGCATCTTGCTAATGTTTGAAATTATGAAGTTAGTGTGCTTATAAAATCTATGTTTTTTATGTTGAAGGTAATTTCATTACAGTGCATTAAATTTAAAAACTTGGTGATCTAATTTGATAACAAATGAAAATGTTTATGTTTAATAATAATAATAATGATAAAAAGTATGTTTGTTTCAAAAACACTTAATACAGTGCATGTCGTAGGATGGTGCATCTATAAACAGATAATGCCATAACAGACCTCAATTTTTACAAAATTATAAATACTAGAGCCCAACTAGGTACCTTATCAATTCGGCCATTGGAATGAGTCGAGTGGTTGAGCGGTTAGGCAGTTAGGCAGGGTCACCGCTCACTATAGCCTTAACATCGGCGTTGGTTCCAGCCTTTCCTCGCCCAGGATTTTGTTGGTAGAACCAAGTGCTCCCGGATAAGGACTTAAAATGGAGGTCCAGTGTACACGTCTTGCTTGTGTGCACTTTAAAAACCATTGCATCTTTAGGAAGAATAGGGAGTTACCCCGATGCAGTTGTTCATTTCAGTCCCTGTCGTTGTGGAATGATGTGAACACGTAGCTACCATGAAGCGCCTCTTTATGGCCACTATGTAGTCACGGACCACGTACATAGGCAGTTCAGCACAATTAAAGGCGATAATTATCATAATGCTCCCATGCTTCACGATGTTGTGCTAGTCTTTAGTTTTCAAGGTGTCATATCTACCATTTTCAGATCATCCAGCATTTCCTTTCTTTTTCTTCCCATTCCTCTTTTCCCAAAATCTTATTTCCAAAATCCATTTCATCAATCTTTCTCTTAGTATGTGACCTATCCAGTTCTTTTGTCGTTTCCTTATGTGCAGGCAAGCTCCTTTCCTCTCTAATTCTCTGTAATACTTCAATATTCGATATTCTTTCTGTCCAACAAATATTCAACATTCTCCTCCAAACTCACATCTCGAAAGCTTCCAGTCATTTTACTTTTTTCTTTTGCACTGTCCATGTTTGAGGGGCATATACTACAGTGCTTCATATTAAGCTTTTGACAATCCCCTTCAATTCTAGTTTTAGTTTTCCATTCAGTATTTTCTTCTCTCTTTTAAATGCCTCTTCCCCAATTGCTATTCTATTTCTAATAACTTGACCACATCTTCCATCTGATGATAATGTACTTGAAAATATGACAAAAAAAAAAAAATGGAAATTGATGAAACCAGATAAAGAATCAGAAAAAATCAGTTATGTTTATGAGCCATACTTGGGTGAGGGTCACTCTGTCTATAGTAGCCATGTATGCACAGATACTCCACATAAGGTAGTAGTGTATACTGGGCTCCAATAGTTTTCACCCTTGGTCTGTGCCTCAGGTTCCACTACCATGCACCACTGAGGCAGCGACGTTTAGTTAAGGTAGGTGTAATAAATAGGAAATTATGTAAAATATGTTTGAAATTTTAATAAGAAGGTTTTTAGATAGTTTAAATTCATGTGTGGAGGATAAAGCATTGACTTGTAGTGGAAGAATATTCTAGACTCCAGCGGCTGTAACCATAAACGTTCTCTCGCATCAGGAGAGAAAGCAGAGAGTATAAGTTCAGAGAGATAAGTGGTGGCAGTGTCATTGAGAATTTTATAAATGAGCAGGCCCATTTTATATGTAATTCTGAGTTTAAAGGGCTGTTTATACTTCAACAATAACGATAACGATAGAAAAGCAATTGTTCATATAGAAAATAAAAGAAATAAGAGAAGTTTTTACACTACTGTAGAATGATTTTTAGCTAAAAAACGATTGACGTTTGATCTTGAAAATGACACCATCATTATCATTGTTATTATTATTATTATTATTATTATTATTTTTATGTTGAACTGAAGTTATTCGATCATTATTATATTATTTATTCATACCAAAATTACTGTTGGACCAGATGTCATAATATAACATCATAAACTAAGTTTACTGTGGTAGTATTTTATCACAATTTTGTTTTTAAAGAAACACGTTTCCTGAAGCAAGTGCAATTTTTGTGTTTTATGGGTCTAAATAATGCGATAACAGCAGTTTTGTTGGAATAAGGTCTGCACATAAGATCAGGTGCTAAGAGAATCTTCGACCTTCTACAATTGTTATGA